GCAACTGCCACCATTTTATTCTACAGGGTCTTTGCTTTCAGTCATTTTGTAGGCCGGTAAGGTAGCAAGTCTTACAAGGATACGAGGAGTATTAGGACTGCCTTTGAAAATCATTAGAGAACACTGAGAAAGCTTGGTGAATACACAAGGTATATGACATACCTTATATGCCTTATATGTTGAATCTTACAGCAGACCTTTCCCCCCATTCACTAAAAATCACATCAGCATGCAGCTCTGCATGTTGATATGAAGTCATATTACATTCATCAGTTAAGCAAACATTTTTCTTTTACTTATTATTACTATTTTTCCACATCCTGGACCTCTTGGGCATTTGTGATGTAATGTGCCCGAGTGTTGCATCCTGGGAAGTTTACATTAGCAGAGCATTGCTGGGAAATCCCATCTGTAATCTCACAAGATCCCAGGGAAAGGCCTTTTCACCCCCTGAGATGATGTGCATGGTCACATGTCCTAGCCACATGTGCCAGAGTTCCAGGAAGTAAAGGGAGTTGGATTTATCTGCCCTTAGTGAAAATGGCCACTGTGAAAAGAATGGAGAGGAAAAGAGAAATAAGGAATGCAAAGACTAAAAAGCCAACAATGATCCAGAAGTATCTGTGTGTAGATTGTCATTACTGAACATTTCTAAAGGTGTATTTGTCGTCATTTCAAAGATATGGGTACTTCCTCTTTAACTCTAGTTTATCGCTCTATGGACCAGAAAACCTTTACAGCACATAATATGCTAAACTCAACAGAAACAAAGGACAGGAGAATCATCCGTTACATTTCTGGTGTTTACAAATGTTTCACAATCTGCAGAGACCTTTGTAATGCTTTCTGAAATGTTCCAGAATCCCGAGGATTTAATGATGAACCTCAAGCTAAAATGTATTCAGAATGTCAAATCACGATGGGTCTCATTAATAACAGCATATGACATGAAAAGCACTTCGTTCCCCACAGCAACTAATTACCTATCAGAGATTCCACCTCGATTGTCTTTGCATGGTTGAATTTGATTGACTTCTGGCAGGCAAAAAAAAAAAAAAATGTATATTTTGAATCATATTTTTACTCGTCTCTCTTATTTATTCTCCAAATGCACCATATGGAAAGTTGGGCCTGTTTGCATACTGTCAGGGATGTGCATGATCACAGAGACAAGTCATGTAACAGCAAAAGTTAGTGGGAAGCAGTTTGTATTCACACATATTACAATCCATGAGAAGAAAGTGTGGAGGAGCATGCACGTCTTCTATTCCCTATTTCAAAGGAAATTCCCCCTTTAAAATATTAACACACGTTTTGTTCAGCGTACCATCTATCGTGTTTAGTGCGATTATGCACACTTTTACGAGCGTAAGGCGCGCATGTACAAAGACTTTTTATTGAGCAGATTGAAATGCATTGCAGTAACCTGCGCACAAACGCATAAAAACGCTCACAGAAATGCGCAAAACGTGCACAGCAATGTGCAAACCGCTTGTGTCACTCATTTTAATGCGCTTCCATTGAAGTCTATGCAGCCAAACACGCTGTAATCTGCCTGAAAAAAAAGCTCATTTACCTTTTCCATAGTTCGCCGTTTTACTTGTGACTTGTGACACCTTGTGACAAAACTCTCAGGTGTGAAAAGGGGCCTTATAAATGAATGGGATTTCTTGTGTTGAGAAATTTGTTGCGCTTAGGTTTGAGGCGGCAAAACGCCCAGGTGTGAATAGGGACCAAGAGACCGTAAAGCATTGCAACCATGATCAGTGAATTACGGGTGCAATGCTCTGGCTCCTGCAGATTCTTTCTCCCTTCCGTGTCCATACTGAGTTACGGACATTCAGTAACATGGGAGAAAGTGTCAATGGACTACAAGTTCGGGGATGTCACTGCACTCGTATTCTATTGAGAACTACCCTCTGCCATGGTGGCTGACAGAACTCATAGTTTTTCCATGTCAAAGGATCTGTGAATGGATGACACAAAAGAGGGAAATCCCTGGTGGTCAGTGGGATCACCAGAACTAGTGTCCCCATTGGAAGATTTGCAATCTGGTCCTGTTCTGATGACAATCCAAAATTTGGGACTTTCCAACACTCGCAGTAATATTGGTCATCAGAAGAAATAGAGACAGCAATAAAACCCTGTCTGGTCTACTAATCCCTCTCCACTCTATCCAAAACGTTTTGGCTTCAGTTGTACTTTAATACTCACTGTGACCATCATGCCTTGGTATTATGCAATATCCCTTCGGATGGTAAAGAAGAACCTGAAGATTTTTTTAAATTAACCCTTGCAGTGTGGCTACCCCTGCACTAAAGGGGTTAAGAGCTTGTATTCATCTAGGGAGGAACCTCGGAGCTGGCTGGCTGCTACTCCAGTCCTTCCAGTCTCTCACTTCCTCCACTCCAGCAATGGTATGTCCCTCAGCATCCTCACATCCAATACCGTGTATAGAACATGATGAATCACAGAACCTTAGACCGCTAAAACAGAGGAGAAGCAAGGCAGCAGGGAACAGCCTAACAGCAAGCCAGCTGTGAGGTTTGGGCGAGTATAACTTTCTTATTTTCCTCCCTAGATGAAAAGGAGCACTTAACCTTTAGAGTGCGGGAGAAGCCCCACTGCAAGGGTTAAGAATATGTATACCCAGAGTTCTTCTTTAACTGCTCATTTTTGTCTAGGGGTGAAAATAAAGAAGAAATACTCACTTAATCCTCGATCCTGCGGCAGTGACCACTCACCTCTTTCCCTCTCCGCTCCTGCTGTGGTTCCGCTGATTGATTTTTACAAATCCTGGAGTTCTTGGAGTTAAGATGTTATAACAAGTATGCCAAGCCAGTATAAAGAACATGTAGCGATATGACTTGAAGATCCACTTTACAGTTCGTAGCCATAAACGATATCAATTTAATTGGATGAACTGATGAATGAGAATGTAACAGAACTTTCTTTCACGGTCAGCTGAGTCCTCTATATTAGCAACTACAGTGAGTGCCTTTGTTTCACAGATGAATAATGCAATATCTGAAACAGGACAGAAATTGGCTTGGAGAGAGTTATCCAGGAATAAAAATCTTAGTCTTCACAGAGCTTGGCATGAACTGCACATAACATTTGTTATGTATGGTTGGTGGAAAGTACAAAATGATATCAGAACTTGTAAGAAGATAGAACACTATAGAGGAGCTGCTCTCAAATGGCTATCCCCCATCCAGAATTGCTCACAGATCGTCCCCTGCTTGAAAAAACTCGTCCACTACTGTGATGATGCCGCCAATAACTAACTATAGCGGAGCTCTTAGCTGCAGTGCCTATGATTACTGAACGTCTACTCACCATAGAAAGAGGAGATGATTTAACCTCCCTGGCTTTAGGATTCTTTTTCATGTCATTTTTCTGTCTATTTCTTTTTTCAAATTATTTTCGTCTTTGGCGTTTTTTCCCTGCAGGGTCCTGTGGAGCCACCCTTGTGTGTGCTAGTAAGCTGTGTGTGTCTCCACAAACACACAGGCAGTGCAAGGAAGCCACTCCCCTGATACTTGCTCCTCCTTCCCTTCTTCTCCAAGCTGATAGATAGTTGCTCAAAACTGCTCTCTCACTTGTGATCTTGTACCGGACAGGAAGTTCAGGGAAGTGGAGCTGAGAGAGTTGGAGACAGGTATTTGGAAACATGATGACTGTAAGTGTGTGGGCAAACATTTAAACAAATACTTTGCAGGGCACTTTCATCTTTGTTAAGATACTTTCCAATAGTACTGCACTTGCAACATCTGAGGTTGAAAAGAACCTCAGATGTTGCAAGTGGTGATTTTTTTTTTAAATTGTTATAAATGAAAGGTTCTGCGAGGAGACAAGCAGGGACAAAGCTATTCCTGTCTGCTTAGGGCTTTGGAATCTAGCCAGGACAAGAGTGGGTGGGTTCCCTGGCCATTATTACTCCATTCCAGCTGTTGCGACTACCTAACGTTTACCTTTCAGACCGTGTTTCATGTTACACCCATATTCAGGGTGTAACATGAAACATGGCCACATTGAAACCCCCTCCCACTTACCTGATTTATGCGGTTCTTCTTCCCACGGGCTCCTGTTGATTTTTGAAAATGCCATGACTGTGCCTGGTTCTGCCCACAGCCACATCCTTTCTTCACAGGTCCTCTGTGAATGGAGAAAGTGCAAGTAGATACCATATGTCATCAACACACCAAAGTCAAGTGTCCAAAATCGTCTTTATTGACTGTGTACATCTTGTCACACAAATGCAACGTTTCAGGGCCACTTAGGGTCCCTTCGTCAGGGATTTTGGACACTTGACTTTGTGCTGATGACATACTGTATCTACGTGGACACTGCAGTACCATCCACAGTCACTTCAGCACCCATCTACAAGAAGTATACCAGTGAGGAGTGCGGTGGAATATCTATTTGAACAAAGTCCCATCAGTCACCATGGAAGAGGGACTTGCAGTTCTCAATGGAATACAAGTGCATTGACGTCACCATTCAATCTTCCTCCTGTCCGTGTTACTGAATGTCCGTACCGAGGTACAGACATGGACAGGAGAGAGAATCTGCAGGAGCCAGAGCATTGCACCTGTGATCCACTGAAAAAAAAGAATAAATGCAGATTTTTTATGTTTTATAAACAAGTGTGCATTTATTATTGTTTTAATAATAAAAAAGTAGACTTTACTATTAATAAAGTTGAGGTTTCATTGTAATGTGGGAGTGCTGCTGCTGGAGTTTTGCGTTGTGCCCCTGTGTGGTCAGAAGTTATGCTGCTTTAGCAAAGAATAAAGTGGATATGAAACGTTCCATCCGACATCTTCCTGTCATCAAAGAGTACAGGAAAAATGTGCTTAGATATGCAAATGTAGGATCTTTTCCTTGCCACAGAACCTAATCCTTCACACACTACACACAGTAATAATTATACTATGGAGGCTGCAGAGTAGATCATGGCGAGATACATGTAGAAATCGGGAGGTTAGCATACTTACAGAATTGCAGACTAAGACTTAGGAAGGCCAGAAGTGCAGCCAGAGCCGACAGTAAAAGAAATCGGTTTCGGAGAAGCATTCTTCAGTACCGTCTATGTCGTCTTCATGGTGTCATGTCTTCTGTTAAACATTCCTGATGAATGGAAACAACATTGTTAAACTAATCATTAGAATAAAAAAAAAAGACTGAACTTTGCAGAACAAGAAATATATGAAGAAGAAAAGGACACTTTAAAAGGGGTGGTCTGGGGAAGCAGTAAAGTATTACAATCACAAACCTCTCTGGGGGGAATTTATCAAAGCAATTGCAACAGTTTTAGCCTCTTAGATGATTTTTTTATGTGCAAATTTGTCTTTTAACCTCGCTGGCGGTATGATTTTTTTTTCGTTTCTTTTTTCGGTATATTTTTTTAGATTTATTTTTAAATATCCCGCCGGTTCTGCTCCCCTGCGAGGCGTACGCTCGCAAGGGACGGAACCCGGAAGACGGTGTCGGCCAGAGAACACAGCGCGGCTCGAGGGACAAGGTAAGTAATGCTATGCGGCATTCCCGATGGTAGCTCGGGGTTACCGCTTATGGTATGGAAAAGTAACCCCGAGCTACACTTGGGAATACCGCCAGGGAGGTTAACATGTGCCCCTGTTTTGACCAGAGCTTGCACTTCTTTTCCAACTGCACGTTTTTTTGCACCTGTTTTCATCTGCATTTGTTCTGGGGCTGTCTGAAACTGGAGCATCACCTAACAAAACAATGGCAACTTAAAAGGAGAACTATGAGGGGAGTGCTTTTCACTCACCTCATAGTTCCAGCCGACCTGTGACAATGAGACTGTCACAGGTCGGCTCAGTAGATCGGGAGGTGAGCGAACACATACCGGCGTTCGCTCACCTCTCTATCCTGTCACAGCTCTCTGCCGTGACAGGGGAGGGGCTGGATTCCCCTCTCCCCGATCCGCCAGCGCTGACTGGCGGACTGAACGGCTAGATAGGCAGAGCCAGCTGTCACTCACGCAGCTGGGCGGATCCCGGCATAATTGTCGGGATCCGCTTCAGCTGCGGCGTCTCAGTATTACGCAAGCAGTAGCTTGCGGTATACTGTGGCATCTCAGCAGCTCGCGGTATACTGAGCTAAGGGTGACGGGAGGACGCTAGTTTGTGTCCTCCCGTTACCCTAAGGAGAACTATGGGGAAAAGCCTTAACCCCATAGTTCTCCTTTAAGAAGCCCCATGACCACTTCAAGAAGCGACAGTTACGCTTTTTGCCTGGAGTTACGAGTCTTCTTTCCTGGAGTCTATTAAACCTCAATTATGAACAAGATTACACTAGCAACATAAATCTGGCGCAAAGTGCATCAAATATATTCTGCGCAAGTTCAAACACTCGCAATTGCTATGATAAATTCCCCCCTCCTTGTTTCCCCTCTCATTACATAAGGGACTTCTTGATCTGTACACCACACCCACTGTGTTCATTTCTTGTCTGCTAATTTCTTTACTTTTTAACTTTTTATTTACTATGTGAAGGACAAAAAAGAAATAAATAGCAGCGATGAGAAGAACAGCATTCTTCAGATCTAGGCTGTTTGGTAATGGCTTCTATTATACTGCAGACCTATACACCAAAATAAATCCTTCCAATTTCCAAGCCAAGAGTGGCGGGCTCCCATAAAAGAAGCTATAAACTCAGATTGCCAGAAGAGAACACTTACCTCTACCCCTCGCTGTTCATAAATGGGGATACAAATTATAAATAATGGCTTTTTTTCCACTGAAAATAATAATATAAATAGACCAAAGGCATAAGGATCATATAACCTGACAGCATATGGCATAGCGACTTGTATAAAGAGTTCAGAAGGAGCTTATAGAGAGAGAGAGAGAGAGAGAGAGAGAGATACAGAGATGAGAGAGAATTAATTTAAAGTGTATCTAAAACCCAAGACAAAAATGTAATATATTGCAGCTTCCCCTCGTTAGATGTGGTGGCTGCATTAGTTTTCCTTTGTTTATTTTTTTGGACTGGGTGATGCTGCCAGTACCACACTTCCAATCCTAGAGTGGCAACGCTAACTCACCATATTATATTTCTGGAGGGGCAGATTTGGAATACAGAAACACCTTCCCCTCCTCCCATATGCATAGCATAGGGGGAAGGTGTTCTGTAGTCCACATAGGTGGACTAGATTTGAACAAAAATTAAATGTTTTGCTTTCACTGAAGGACACAGTGAAAAACAAAAGATCTTAACCAGTGGGTTATACTGCCAAATGCAGGAGTAAGACGCTAGGCACAAAATACTAAAGGCAGCCTAGTGGCGACCCCTGCAGGTGGCCAACTCCCCCATGTGCCAACACAGTCTCAGTTAGTAGCAAGCAGTGAAAAAGCCCAACAAACAATCAGCAACAACCAATGCTAAGGGCAGGTGCCATGTCCTTCAATGACGGCAGAGAAAAGGATTTTACGGTGAGTACAAAAAAATTCAAATTTTCTTTTTCGTTCATTGAAGGACACAGCATATCAGAAGATCTTAACCACTGGGATGTCAACAAGCAGTGATCCAAAATAAGACAGATAAGAAGAAAAGGTAAACCCAGGACATCAAAAAAGAGGAAAAAGGGGGAAAAAAAAGAATCCCAGCAAGGATTCTGACGTCCTTACTCCTTGACACTAGGCAAAAACGGAGGCTGTTGGGGGATTTGGCCACCAGCAGGGGCCTCCCATAGGCTGTATTTTGTGCCTAGTGTCCTACTCCTGTAAGTGGCAGTATAACCCAGTGGTTGAGATCTTCTGATCTTCGCGATGACCTTCAACAAAGGAAAGAGAAAATGGCGCCAAATGAAAAAAAAAAAAGAGTTTGAAGGAGTTTTTACTAGTAACAATTAAAGCATCAAGGTGCCAATGCGTTTCAGGGGCAAACACAGACCCCCTTCATCAGGATTCAGGTGTAATTCAAAAGGGGAATAACTTGGGGAATGGACTTAGGGAAAGTTGAAGATAGTGACCACAAATAGAAGGGCACATGCAGCAGTCATTCCCTTTTGAATTACACCTGAAGCCCTGATGAAGGGGGTCTGGGTTTGCTCCCAAAACACGAGGGCACCTTGATGCTGTTATTGTTAACCAATAAAAACTCCTCTGGACTCTGGTTCGTTTGGTGGCGCCTCAGTTTTTTGTGACAGAGGGCAGGACCCCCTCCTGCCCTCTGTGAGGTCCCTGTCAGTGGAAGTGCAGTCACTACCAAACGTTTAAGCACTACAAAAGAATCCCATATTACTTGCGCACTTTCCACAGGAAGTTTACAATCAAAGATCACAGCGCCACTCACTCTTCCTCCCATTTGTATCCACAGAGGTGAACTGGGCATGGCTGATAACACTGCTTGAGATGTCAGTGCAGCAAAAGACAGAGTGCGCAGTAAGGTACAAGCTCATTGGATTTCTGGCAGATCAACAGATATTTTTTCCTACCTGCAATTTTAAAGAGGAAAAACATGGGAAACGTGCACGTTGAAGAGATGTATTTTTCTTATTGTGCCGAGACATACACTTCTTATTTTTTTTCAGATAAGGATTCTCACAACTTTAACCCAAGTGCCAGACATTTTCTAATTGGGTTCAGCTGAAACGTGTGAACCCAGGGTGACTGTTCCAATTATCTGGGGGAAAACATCTATAAATAGTCCCTTTTTAGTCTCACTTAATATGGTATTTTCCTCATGCATGCCCAGGAATCTGTAAATGGAAAGACTAAGGTACCATTCACATTGCTTGTTCCGGCATTCCTGCTTCAAGAATCTACAGATTCCTGCGGCTGCAATGCCAGGTGTCCCCATTCAGATGTGGGCGCTATACACACAGTGGTCACCTTTGTAAGTGGCAATCCACATGTAATTATACATGATACAATGACATGTGTTTTGGAATAGATGGCCATCGCTGGACTGCCCAGCGGATGCACCTGAACGGGGACACCTGGCACTCCTGCCATTGTACTCTGTAGGTTCTTACCGCAGGAATACCAGATCGCCCCGTGTGAATGGAGGCTCAAAGTCCCATCTGCCTTCTCAGCAGAGGGACTCGTACAGTAGATCTCCAGAGAGCACAAGTGCACTGACGTCACCACACTTATATTCCATTGTTTAATTTCTCCATCCCTATAACTTAAGGTCTGTACCTCCCTACAGACCTGGGGCTGGGGGTACACAATGCAGGAGACTCATAGTGGTTGCACTGACTCTGTAAAGCTGCCCATACACCTTACAGCTATTGTACAACTTTTTTGTTCCAACATCGCACCTTCGTTCAGTTTTCGTTCAAGCAGCCCATCATGCACAGATCAATGTAGTTTGCTATTATCGTAAGTCAGCACCACTAACTGGACGATTTTCGTCGATTGAACAACCACATTTTTGTTTGAGCATGTGCAGTTTTCATCTTGGGATTTTTGTTGTATGAAAACGACACTAATCCCTCGATTTTCATCCAACTAGACGAACGTTTTCTAGCCTGCTTGAAAGACGAAAATCTGCCAGTTGCACAGTAATTGCGGTTGTGCACTTCCCATCAACTGGCCGATTTTCGGATGAAACACGATTGCAGACGAAAATCGGCAGATAAATGTGAGGTACACACCTTACATTTATCCGCCGATTTTCGTCTGCAATCGCCTGAATGCAATTATTTAACCCCTTCGTGACGGGAGACTACACTGTACGTCACGTCACAAAGTGCCTATATGACTGGCCACGTACACGGAGTTATTTAAGGCTCTGTAATGCCGGTAACTGCTGATTCTCAGCGGTTACCATTTATTAAAAGGAGAACTATGGGGTTAAGGCTTTTCCCCATAGTTCTCCTTAGGGTAACGGGAGGACACAAACTAGCGTCCTCCTGTCACCCTAGGCTCAGTATACCGCGAGCTGCAGCTTGCGATATACTGAGACGCCACAGTATACCGCAAGCTACTGCTCGCGGAATACTGAGACGCCGCAGCTGAAGCGGATCCCGACAATTATGCCGGGATCCGCCCAGCTGCGTGAGTGACAGCTGGCTCTGCCTATCTAGAGGCAGAGCCAGCTGTACCCGCCTCCTCCCCCGTCCGATCTGCCAGTCAGCGCTGGCGGATCGGGGC